AGAATATACTCCAAGAGAAGATGGGGAACAAAGATGCTACTATGATGAACATCATGCTCAAATCCTGTTGGAAGAGAGCATGATGAAGCTTATTTCTAACAAAGTGTTCTTTTTTGCAGGAACAGTCTCTAGGCCCTATTGTTCACTGAAGTTCTTACTAGTGGTATTGGTGATTTTCACCCAACCTAGTGGAATGAAGGTAGAAATAGGATACAACCTAGAGGAACCAAGGTACAAAATTCAGACATCAAGCAACAGGACATATAGATCATTATGGCACATTAAGTCAGGAGTGCACAACATAAAAAAATTCACAAAGAAAGGAAAACTACAAGCAACTGAGAAAAGAAGCACTCAAATGGTTGGGGTCACACCTGAACACATATTGTGGACAGTTGAGGTACATAATATCAACTGGATGAAACAATCGTGGACATCATACAGTGGGAATTGGTTAGCAGATCTTCAGTTTACATGGATTTTACACGACCTTATGAGGAGCTTGCTGCTGGTGGTATTAGTACTTTGTACTCAGTCCAGCACAAGTGAATTATGGGGGAGTGTAATTACAGTTCAGGAAGTCATAGGTACTCAGTCATTAAGCTGGTACTGTTCTCGACTTTTGGACTACAGCAGAAGAAACATTCAGGAAATGGAGCTCATGCAATGCTCGCTGCAACTGAAATGGACAAGGCAAGGCACAGGGCAACCTTGGATAGGTTTTTCAAATAGGAGGGGATCAACAAGTAACAAGAATACAGCACATCAACACAACAGAAAATGCAAAGAAGGAATTCAGAAGTGGAAATCAAGCAGACATATCATAATGGCGGAGGAAAACTACAACAAAGTAGAGGCAGATGGACGCGAAAAGCTGGAACACTGTTACATTGGTAATGATCTCAGAAGGACATTTTGGCACTCACCCTTGATCTGGATATCATTTACAAATATGGCTAGATTAGTTACACATTTTGTGATGCCAATGTTGAATTCACTACTCAATATTGGTAATAGGATTAATGTAATCTTCATTTGTTATTATTTTCATAGCTTAAGACCTCCTGACAAATTCATTGTATTCTTTTGATTTTATGAATAAAACCTAGCCCTGGGCCATGCCTAGTGGATTGCTTACAAAAAAGTCACAAAACAAGTAAACATTTCCTTTTTATATTAAGAAGTCTCCAAATTCATAATCTATTACTTATCAATTTATCTCAAGCTAGGGAGTAGGAAATATCAACGTCTATAAATCTGAAGGCAAGCAATACAAGCAAGCGCAAATCATGAATCGACCTCCAATCCAAGCTTAATGAACTTTAGAATTCCAAACTTCAACATTCGATGCCGAAACCTATCAAATCACATCTAATCGACCTGAAAATTTGCACACAAGTCATATTTGACGTTACGGACCTGCTCCATCTTCCGGAATCGGATTCTGACCCCGATATCAAAAAGTGAGGACTTTATATCGAGCTTCTCAAAAACCTTCAAATTTCTATCTTTAGCCAAGCGACTCCAAAATGACCCACGGATCTCCGAATTCACTTCCGATCGCGCTCCCAATACCAGAATCACTATACGAAGCTATTCTTAGACTCAGAATCCCAAACAGACATTGATAACACTAAAATGCACCTCAACCCAAACTTATGAAATTCTTATAAAAATGCTAACTTCCACAATAGGCGCCGAAATGCTCCCGGGTCATCCAAAACCCGATCCGAACAAACGCCCAATTCCGAAATCATCATACGACCCTGTTGGAACCTTCAAATCCCGATTCCAAGGTCGTTTACTCAAAAATCCAATCTTAGTCAGTTCTTTCAACTTAAAACTTCTAAAATGAGAATTATCTTTCCAAATCAACTCCGAACTTCCCGAAATTCAATTCTGACCATGCGTACAAGTTGTAATACCTGAAGTGAAGTTGCTCATGGCCTCAAACTACTGAATGACGCACTAGAGCTCAAAACAACCGGTCGGGTCGTTACAAAAAGGTTGGACATAAGGCTGTGGATTGCCATGCACCATAGAAGGACAAGAAAAAGAGTCAAGCAAACATTGTCATGACCTAAAATCTAACCACATCATGATGTCACCTATTGTGATACTAGGCCATCCAATTATTACCATTCACTCAGTTTTCCAATTTAAGACTTAAGAAAAATCACATTTTTAAACAAAAATCCAATAAGATAAAGATAGAACTCAAATCCAGCGGAAAGAAATACATAATCCCGACCTCGGGTGTCACTAAGTCACGAGAAACATACTACAACTGTCTGAAATATAAAAGACTACACAATATGAGAATGTCTGAATAAGAGTACTATAAGGAAGATAAGGAAGGAGAAGGCGGAACTGCGGTTGCCAAGCAGCTACCTTGTAATCTCCAAGTGAAAGTCCACACAATAAAATCAGCAGCCGCTACCGTGCCCCAAGATACCTGCATCTGCACATAGGGGTGCAGAGGGTAACGTGAGTACACCAACTCAGTAAGTAACAAGTCCAACCTATGGACTGACAGGTAGTGACGGACCAAAACTCAACAGGTGATAACACATATATATATGAATAGGGAAAGTAGGCATGCTTACAGTTTAAGTAAAGTTCAACAGTATTTAAATGCAACTGACAGTACGAAGTTCAAACTCAGAGATTTTACATATACAAATGCATAATTAGCATGATCAATGACCAATGAACCTCCACTCACAAGTACTCAAACTCGCGGTACTGTATATGGCCATCCAGCCTAGGAAAGATCCATCCCGGAATATACATCACTAACCGCAGTCATCCAGTACCGAGGACGAATGCCAATCTAGCCTTACGGAGAAGATCCATCTCCCAGTATAATACTCTGGTCAAGATCCATCCCTAAATATCATCATGTACTGCGCTCACTAGGGTGTAAAGACTCCGGAGTGGCTTCTCTCATTAGCCTAAGTGCTATAATAAAGCCAACGAAGGCTTGTTCAATATCTCGCTGCGGTGTGTAGCCCAATCTTATACTATCTCCCAATATTAGGCTCTCGACCTCACTCAGTTATAACTCACCAATCTCACACATGGTCTCCAAATGTCATGATACTAGCCCGGTCGACAATAAAATGTGGAAAATAATAATAATCGAGATTGAGACATGATATGATATTTATGGAAGGGACTGAGTATAGAATATAAGTAAAATTAATGATATGACAGTAAGAAATGACCTTTGGGGTCTCAATGATATTAGCGTGAAGCCTTAACATGATAATCAACATAATTTACAACTCAACAACTAAATCACACAATTACATCACATATGTCGGTAAGAAAGAACCACTAAGTTCTGGAATGACCCAGGGGGCGTTTCCCACGGTGCATGCCCGTACCCCCATCACTTGGCATAGCGTCACCTTTATAACAATCATAGAACACATAGTTCAGGGTTTCGAACCCGCAGAACCAAGGTTGGAAGTGTCACTTACCTCAAGCCAAGCCAGACTCTAGGCTAAGACGCCTTTTTCTCTCGATTCGGACTCCAAATCCCCGAATCTAACCAAAATCAGTATATAACCATCAAAATATGCTAAAGGAACAAAGCCCACTCAAAAATAATCCAATTACATCAAATTCCGAAACTGGTCAGAA